AAAAAAAAAAAAAAGAAAGAAAAGAAAAAAGAAAAAAGAAAAGAAAAGAGAAATCTTGATGCTCTTGCCTTCACCTCCTCAGGGCTCACCTTCACAGATATGCACCAGCATGTCTGGCTTTTACCTGCCTTTGAAACTGCAGTCTGCCTCTGTCTTTCAGGTTCTTGGTGTGTACCCCTTCTTCTGGCTCCCCAGCTGTCCCTCGGTGGTTACTGTTATCCACCCAAACTGGAACTATGTGATCAGAGGAGTACAAGTGTTATAGGATGCAGGGACAGAGTGAAATCAGTCCTTGCAAACTTCAAGCTCATCACCCTCCCCATGACCATGGGTGGGGGGACACACCATAGAGAAGGAAAGCCCCTCCTCAGGCTGTACTAATGCACTTTTAAAACTCCTGGCCAGGTGTCAAGTTGTGGAGAGGGCGCTCTGAGAGGAAAACCAGGAATCCACAGGGCCAACTCCCTGCCAGTCCCTCGACCTCTCCCGTGCAGGGATGGACCAGGAGAAATCTGTGAAGTTCTTTCTCAGGGGGTTTCTGAATTAGCTTTCTGCTTCCAGAAAACCACTAGGCTAACTTGACTATATCATCTAGCAAGTCTCTCGCTGATTTAGGCCTTCTGAAGGATGAGGTAGGGACCTCTTCAGTTCTCCTCTAATTCCGTGGCACCAAAGCTGAGCCCTTTAGGAGTTTGAGGAACTTGTCAAGGACCCCAGGAAACAGCTGACCTGGCTGTCATATGAGAGGGGTTCGTTCCTTTTCACACACATCTGGGGCTTGCTTCCCTCTCTAAGACACCCAGGCCTCCTTGTACCACCCCCTACCAGTGGTTCCGTGTCATAGCACCGTTCATACCCTCACAGGTAAAGCCCCTATTGCGGATGAGATCCCACTGCCCGCACCCAGATTCTTCCCTTCTTCCCTCCCTCCCTGGCGCCCATTAGTTAGCCCAGGCCGTGGGGGCGGTGGCTGCGGAGTCTCCTCTCTGTGCCAGGCCCGGCCCCCGGAGACGCACCTGTTCTGACCTGCTTAGCAGGTTCCCAGGTTTCTGCCTTCGTTGTTGGCCACGGCGTGGGAAGCAGCTCTGGGGGAGCTCAGGGCTCCCGATCACGGCTTCTTGGGGGTAGCCACGGCTGGGTGGGTAGAACTGGGGCCTGGGTCCCCTAAGTGGAGACCCAAGTGGGACAGGCAGGTACGTCAGGGCCTGGGGACTCCGTGACTTCCTGCCTTCTGGGTCAAAGCTTTACTCAGCTCCAGAACCGGCTCCCAGGGAGAACTCCGTGGAACTTCAGAGTCACTGGGCAGATCTGCCTTTCAGCCAATGCCCCTGTCCCTGGGAGCCGAGATGTGGGGCCCTGAAGCCTGGCTGCTGCTGCTGTTCCTGGCATCGCTTACAGGTAGGACTTGCCTGAACCATCAGTACTCTTGCTTCTGAACCCTACCTGGCAGAGACAGGCACGCAAATACACACACACACACACACACACACACACACACACACTTGCACGCACGCACGCACGCACGCACACAAATTCACACACGGACTCATCACATACACAAAAATTCCCTTTCCTTGGACTCTGGATGAAGGAGACCATCTCTTTCTCCTGGTCTTTCCACTTGCCATCAGTGCCCTCAGAAGACTCAATGTAGCTCTTTCTTTTCAAGTCCCCTCTCTGCCCCAAGGACAAGCCCCTGGTGTCTGCAGTCCCTAACTACCTCTGCTAAAGTCTTGCTTCACACACACACACACACACACACACACACACACACACGCACGCATGCATACAGTGCAGGTGGACTGAAAGGAAGAACCAAGGACCCTGTTCATCCCAGGGCTTCCAGAAGGCCTTGTGGCCTACCAACTGGGCTTCAGAACTGCCTCAGTGTTCACAGGGTGCCAGACATCTGGTGCCTGGAGAGTGGGTGGGCATTTCTGTCTCCTTCTTCTCTCATGATAATTTTCTGAGCAGCAGGATTGACGAGCTCCTTGAGGGATTACAGGAAAGCCAAGAAACTCTTGTCACTCTAGTCCCTTTCCTTCCCTGGTACACACACTAATAGGTGGAGAATAATGGTGTGTGTTTCTTACAGGATTAGGGGGAGGCTAGAAGGTAAAGGGCCTTCTAGATGGGAAATGACCCACTTTTATTCATTTATTACCTCTCCTTTTTCTCTGTTGGATGCCTATACAACACTTATACTTTCTGCCTGCCTAATATGTTCAGAACACATATAAATCATTGGAATGTATCATTTTCAGGGCAAGAGAGAGAGAGAATACGCACACAACGAGACCACGGTAGAATGCCATTGGCTGTTATTGGAGAATGAGTAACTGAGAACTTTTTCCTTAGAAAGACAAGGCCCTGTCTGCAGAGGACAGTAGGATCCTCAGCCCAAGAAACAGTAGCAAGGGACTGTCAATTGTCCAGCAGCACTGGGTGACTCTCTCTCCCCACCCCCAATCTCAGCTGAAGAGCAAGAGGCAAACTAGACATAAATGTGGGGACTGGCAGTATTCAAGGTTGTCCTCACTCTGGTCTTATAACAGAAGGATCAGCAGTCCACTCTCTAATCTCAGGATTCTAAACGTTAACCTCTGCCACCACCACCACCCCCTACCCCCAACCCCTGCTCTTAATTCCCATCTTCCAGAAAGCCCTTTTCACTTGTTTAAGCCGAGAGGGTGGGGCCTCCTGCTTGGCCAGGGAACCCAACAGACACTTTTCCTGTAGAATCTACCCACACCTGAAGAATGGAGTCATGCTGTCTCAGGACTTGGGTAGGATCAAAGAGATCACTACTTGAACTCTTTCATTTTACAGATGGGAAAACTGAGAGAAACAGATAGGCAGGTGAGATCTGTAAGATTATTCAGTGTAAAAAGCAGAACCAGGGTTACTGTCTTGGTCACCTGACTTTGTTGAAAAAAGAAAAAAACTGCATAGTTGAGTGCTTATGGCACTAGAAGTTGGCAAGTCAATGGTAAGGATACTATCCCCGCCTTCCCTTTCCATGATGCCAAACTGTTCTTTCTAATAGAAGCCCAGAAAAGAGGGAAAGAACTCCTGGCTAGAAAATTACCCCAGACTTCCCAGAGGTCTGAGAGAAGCTATGCCAAGGAGAAAGGCTGGCTGCAGGATTGCCCAGGAAGCTAGTAACTGATTGGATGTCACTGTACTTCTGCTGCCATGAACTGCACAGAGACAAAGGCTATTCCCAGGGATTCCTGGAAACTTGGACTACGGCATCACAGCTCAAGAACTAGACAGCCTCATCCCCTCCACTCCTGGTTCTGGTTCTCCTTTGTGTATGTGTAGGCATCTCCCTAATGGCCCTAGGAACCTAGACCAATTTTTGTCTCCAAACACCCCTCAGATTGGGAAATCAGGAGCCTTGAGTTCTGATCCCATTTCTTCCATTAATTTGTTAGGTATTTTGAACAGCTGAGAGACTACTTGAGGAGACCGAGAAGGACTGGATGGTCTCTGCAGACCTTCTGAACTCTGAAATAGTAGGCCTCTGTGATTGATTGCCCAGCTTGAAGTGGGTGTTTGTGGTGTTGGAAGAATTGATCAGTCTCCCTGTGGCTGGCTGAAAGGACCCAAGGACACAGCCTTCCTGGCCCAACTGCAAAGTGACACCTGCCCCCCAACTCCAGGGCCATTAGAGCACTGAGCCCTAGGGCCCCGCCCCACCCCTGACAGGGAGAGGAGCCCGGGCTTGGGAGGCGCCTCCAACACCACAGCTCTTTGTTTCTCCTTAATGGGATGAGTTTCCGGGTGAGGTCCCATCCCTCCTCCCTCCCCCATCTTTTGCCCTGGGGCTGAGGGGCCTGAATCTGCAAACTGCTTTCCAATAGGATCCCAGTCTCTAACTCCTGGGATCCTGCAGGGCCTGGGAGTAAGCTGTTCTATAAGTTCTAAACTCTGTCTTCTGAAGGTTAGAATAAACTTTCTGTTGAGATGAATTTCCTAGAAAGGGAGGGGCCCCATCTCTGCTTTTCTACTCATGATGACAGAGGTGGGCAGGCCCTTTCCTGTAGGACCTACCCCAACCCAGAGAAGCCAGAAAGGGAGGTTTGCTTCCCCGCCCAAATGTAGAGAACTAGGAGAATCCCAGGGAAGCCCTTGGCCTCAATGACCCTGGTTCCATTCTAGTGTTTTGTGGTGGTGCACAGGCTGGGTTAGAGAGATCCCAACTACAGAGACGGCAGTGAGGAGTCTAGGGTACACAGTGCCATCTTCTAGAGCATAATAACCTCAGAATCCGGGGGTCCTCTGGCAAAGCGAATGGGCACCAGCCAGAGGGGAACAAGCCCTGTAAGGAGAGAATCCTACATAATCTGCTCTCCAACACTTACACTGATCAAAAAGATGAGGCAAAGAGGGGATGAAGTGAAAAGTGGGAAACTGAGTCAGGAGCACAGAGAGAGAGAGAGTAGAGGAACTTTGGGGTCTAGGTCAGGGCACAGAATCTAAAGCAACGAAGTTTTAAATGGGGACTCACCCCACCTGCTTTCTGGAGGGGAATGGGGTACCATACTCCATTCTTTCACTGGAACAGGCACTAACATGGTGCCTGTGGTCTGAGGAGCTGTTCCCATGGCTTTCTACGCCACCCCCACCCCCAGCATGTCTCTCTACAACTGTTCTGAAGGCTAAGGTTGAGGCTGTGATTGGAATGAGGCAGAGCTAGCCACAGTGGCGGAGGGGGTAGGCAGAATTTGGGGGGAGGCTAGGTCTCGGGAGTTTGAGAGAAGTTGAATTCTAGGTCTCCCACCCACAGTGGTGACTCAGCAGGGCTCAGACTCTGGCTCCGGGGGGTTTAGGGGACTTATCTGTGCTGAGAGCTGTGTCTAAGGCAGAGTCGGCTGCCTCATGGACCGTCCTCCCCATTGTTCTTTCCCTCTGTTACTTGTGTGCTCCCCCCCCCTTAATCTGTGGGTGGGCGCTTTGCCCAGCTTGGGAAGCTCTCGTTAAGCTGGGGGGCTTAGGAAAAGTGGGGGGTGAGGGAGGGAGGTGGGTGAAGGCGGAGGGAAAGTTTTTGGTTTCCAAAGTTCCTCAATTCTAAGGCCAAGGTTATGGGCAGGGAAGGACCAAAATGGCTTTGCTTTGTTTGTCACCTGTCCTGGGTGGATGGGGAGTCTAGATGCTTCCCTCTCATGCCTTTTCTTGCCTCAGACTAACACACTCATGCCAACCCTCTCTGGTGAGGCTGGGGAAGGGAGGCAAGAGTTAACAAAAAAGAATGAGACCCTAGACAGCTTGGACCCCTCCCCCTAGCCTCAGGCAGCCCCCCCCCCAGCTGCTTCCCACCAAACCTGCACCAGACAGCTCTTACCCCAGGCCTAGAGCCAGAGCTGGTTTTTCTGGTGGTGGCAAGCAGCAAAGTCCTGACAGTGATTCCCAGGGAAGAATCTCTGCTTGAGGGGCCAGAAGTACTGGGGGGCCCAGGGGTGTGGCCATAGGGGGTAAAAAGGGTGGGAGTCTCTTTGTAGGAACCCAAAGAGCAAGAGAGAGGGAACCTTTGTTTTGTTTGTCAGGGAGGCTTGGTGGCAATTTCCCATCACCTGGAGGAATGGTGACCTCATCTCTGGTTACCTCCACCGTGTGCCTGAGATGAATCTGCCCTGAAGTCTTGGGGTGAGATGGGGAGGGATGCCAGGGGCAACATTAGAATGGGCAGAAGCCCAGAGCTACACGCTGACCAAAGGCGGCTGAGCCAAACAAATGGAAGCCAAGATAAACGATATCAAAATATTTACTATGTGTGTGGAGTTCCCCAGGACCGAATGTGGACTGTGCGTTCAGAGGGTGAGATGCGTGTGTAATGGTGCATGCATATATGTTCACATGCTAACACATAGTTCTCCCCTCTGGGTATAGAAAAGTTAGGGTGTGTATTTCCCTGAACAGAGATGTGAGCACATATGTGTATGAAGTTCTTGCAAGAAAATAGCTTCATATGCAGACGAACTAGAAAAAGTGGCCTAGCCCTCATCCAAAGATACCAGACATTCAGACACAAAAGACTCAGGAGTTATTGACTTTGTCACACAGACACCCCTAGTACCCCTATGTGTGTATATTCTTTTATGCACCAGCAGAAGATGCTGATGGAGAAAAGTCCCTCGAGAGAAAAGATGTTGCTCTCAAACATGTTGCTATGGCTGAGTATCTGCAAGGGTCAGCCTCAGTTTCCCCTTTTGAGCTCAGAGGCCTAGCCTTACACAGAAAGGAAAGTTGGAGCCAAGGAATAGAGTAGGGTGTAGCCAGCTAGCCCAAGCCAGGAATGGAGGACCCGTCTGGGAGCGGGCGGGGTACACAAAGGGCAGGGCCCCAAAGAGGCCTGAGGGGGCCTGGCCAGGGGTGGGGGAGGCTGAGGGCAGGGATCCTGTCTGGCCAGTTGGGCCTGTTCTCTCCCTTGCGCAAGGTGGTGGTGGCTGTGGCTAGGCCTGCTGCTGTGTGGCAGCTTCTGAGTCACTAAGGCTCCTGACCAGCGTCCTGGTGCTCCTTGAGAGGAGGGGTGGGGAGAGTTGGGAGGAGGAGGAGTGCCCGAGAAACTAGAGGCCCCCAGCCTCAGCAAACAATATGCAGCAGTAGAAGGGTCTGTGGGCTTGGCCTGGCCTGGCTACTACATGCCCATAAGGTGACCTCACCAGGCAGGCGGTGTGTCTCTTTCTGTCTGGTGACATCATCATGCTGACGCCAGGCAGGCACTGGGTGGGGGAGAGGAGGAGACAATCCTGGCCTGCCCTGGCTTGGAAGCCTGGGTTCTTGGGTCCATTTAGCCCAGGACAAGGATACTTGGGCCCAAGTTCTCTTAACTCATCTCTTTTGATTTAGAAGATGAACTGAAGGCCATTGGAAGTGGGAATTTTTCAGTCTGAGATACTTCCACTAAATAGTGACTGTAAGACAGTGTGGGTTTTGTAGGGACAGTTCCAAAGGAACTTTCCTGTTCTCCTGGGTTCCTCAGTCTGCAAAACTGGGGCTTGTACCTTCAGGATGAGGATCTTGGATTCACTGGTTAGGGACATTGTGGATGGAGACTCAAGTATGTGATGGGTACCCATGTCTTACTGTGCCCTAAGGAGGTATTTGGGGAGACAAAATATGGGTGATTTGTAGGCAGGGTGGGGTCCAGTGTAGGGATGAGGATGGAAATACATAAGCTTGAGATATGGCAGTTAAGAGCACTTGTTCTTGCAGAGGACCTGGGTTCAATTCCCAGCACCCACATGGTAGTTAACAGCCACCTGAAACGCCAGTTCTTCTAAGGCATCTGATACCCTCTTCTAACCTACATGGGCACCAAGCACATAGTATACATATATGCAAGCAAAACATTCATACACATAAAATAAAAATAAATAAAATCTAAGGGTGGAAATCTCGGATGTGACGGTGTCACAGAAATAGCCTTTGGAAGGATTGTGTCTCCTAGTGGGACAGGGCTTGGGGTCCCTGTGACCTGCATCCACATTATTGTGACTTAAATCTACATCAGTGTTTTGTAGCAGAGTGAGCTGAAGGGCCTATATTGCACCCCACCCCCAGCCTTCTTTGACAACCTTACTCCCTTTAGTGCTAGGAGGAGGTACCTGGGAGGGGTGCAAGTGGTTAGCTGGACTCCCAGGCTGGGCTGGGTGGGACCAGTGTCAGCTTAGGCAGGTCAGGCCCTGGTATCTGGCCCTGCAGGTCTGTCCCGTCGGCCTGGGGCCCTCCCAACTCCCAGAAGCAGCATCCTTCCCTCTGCTCCTCCTGTCAGGGCCACGAGACCACTGGCTTGTTTCCCTGGGACCCTCTCGGCCCTGCTCCATGCTCCATTTCCTCACTGCAGTCTGCCCATCTCCATCCCCTTCCTCCTTCGCCTGGTCCAGAGATACTTCCCTTGGCAGTGAACCCAGACAGTGAAGCCCCACTCCAAGGTTGCCATGACAACGCTTTCCCTGCGTAGTCCAACTAAGGGACTGTACATTCCTCTTGATTATACTTTCTTCCTGTTGCCTGTCTCTTCCATGCATCTGCTCACTCGTTTGCATATTTTTTTTGTTTTTTGAGAGGTGGGGGATTGAGATATTGTCTCCCTCTTGCCCAGGATGACCTTGAACCCCAAATCTTCTTGCTTGAGCCTTCCCAAGTGTTGGAACTAGGAGGTGTGGGCTACCATGCCTGGTTTCATTCATTCATTCATTCATTCATTCATTCATTCATGTCAGTGAATAAACATTCATCAAGGTCCAATTATGTGACAGGAAGGAGGCCACATACCACTGACTGAGTATAGAATCAGAAACCATGTTTTTGCTATGTGATACATGACCCTCGTTTGACTCTTATGGAGCTCAATGCCTTGGAGAAGGAGAGCGAGAAAACTGAAAGCCTGATATATAGGCTAAAGGGTTAAAGCAGAGAGCTAGGGAAGCAAGGGCAGGGCACCCAAAGAAGCTGCTTGAGGTGGGGGAAGGGAGGGAGGACTCAGGAGGAAATGATGCCTAAGCAGAGTCCTAAGGCATGAGTAGGAGTGCTCCAGACAGTGATGAGTAGGAGCAACCAGACACAGGGAGGAGGGCATTCCAGGCAGGGGTATAGTGTGAGCAAAGGTGACAGACAACAGGGTGTGTGGGGTACGTTAGAGGCAGGGATTAGAAACAGTTGGATGTTCTGAGTTGGAGTTCTTGCCATCCCAGAGTGCTCTCCTGCCTTGGCCCAGCCCTTGGCCCTGGGTATTGTTTATTTTTTCATAACCATAAGCATTCCCAGGTCCAACCTCCTTTATAAGTTACTCGTTGCAAACATCCAGTCATCTTTGAGTCTTTCCTGATCATCACCTATCTCCAGTCAGTGACCAAATCCTCACCAAATGTCCCCTTTTATCTGCCCAGTACCACCTTGCCAGGGATATGGCTACAGCCTCATGGTCTCTGCCTCGGTCTCTTTCCATGACCTGTTTTCTGGTCAGACTTCATGTTGTCACCTGCTTCATGCCACTTGCTAGCTAGAGAGGCTTTGGTGACTCCATTTCCTCTTGACCAAATTTGAATTCCTTTTCCTGGCATGGCAGTCCTGGGATATTTGGACCCACCCTACCCCAGCTATATTTTCCACTGCTGCTCAACACACACACACACACACACACACACCCTCCCTTAGGTTGGGTCCTCTTCTCTTTGCTTCCTGAACCAGCAGCCAGCCTCTCTACTTCCTAGTGTTTGCTTACCTTGCTCTTGTATCCACAATGCCTTTCTAGGTCTCCTGGGCCTCCTGATTCCACCCAACTCTTACATGAAGCAAGCCCTCCCTATGACTCTCACATGCCTCAAACAACCGACAACAAACCACCAAACACTAAGTCAGAAACCACCATTGCAAGTCAGGTGTGGTGGTGCATCCAGTAATCCAAGCATTCTGAAGGCTGACGAAGAACAGTGAGTTTGCAGCCAGCCCGGCAGGCTGCATAGTTAGACCCTGTCTTAAAAATAAAGAGGAGGAGGAGGAAAGAGAGATAGAGGAAAAAGTAATTGTCATTGCATGATTCCATACCTATCTGTTAGTAGTTAGATGACAGATAGATGGATGGATAAATAGATAGATAGACAGACAGACAGACAGATAGATGTCTACCATTTGTATTTCTATTTCTTCCCCCAAAACAGTCCTCAGGTTCCAAGAGGGCAGGAAATGGATCTTTATTTGCCAATGAGGTTATGTAATGGACCTATCTGATTTCAAAATTTCCAAATGCTTTGTACAGCTGCTCATCGATTACCAAAACACTAGTCCTTCATCCCTGGTCGTCTGATTCTGTCTCAACATTCTGACACAATTGCTGTGTGCCTGCCCTGACCTCATCTCTCCAGGGCCCTGACCTGGGGGCCCTTTCTGTCTTCAGTGACTTGCTGGTTCCTGCCCCTAAACCTCAGTTCATGCCATTCCTCCCACATTGAATACCTCCTTCTCTCTGGGAATCCAGGTCTCTCATCTTCAAGCCATGTGAAAAATGTTCCCAAGGGCCTGTCAGGATGGACCTGACACTCCCAAAATGCCTCACTCCAGGCACCAAACGTCTGAACCTTTTCAGTTGCTCCTCACCATTCTTTCCAAGAGGGTTCACTTTTACTTTTACCCGCTTGGCAGGTTGAGCCTCCTGTGAAATTTGTCCTTAGTTTCCTGGTTCTATGTGCAGAGATCCCATTTCCTGAAAGGTTGTGAGCTCCTTGAGGGCCAGAGCTACGTCTCTGGTCCTGATATAGTTTCTTTGCTCAAATAGAATCCCAGGCTGCAAAAGGGTGAGTCTTCCATAAATCATCTGTGTGGCCTTAGGCAAGCCACTTCCCTTTGGATCTCAGTTTCCTCCTCTGTTAAATGGCGATAATAACGCCTACCTCTTGGGAATGGTGTGTGGATCTAATGAGGTAATGGATTGGATGTGCTTTGCAAGCACAAACGCTCCAGGAGTTCCGGCTGCCTTTGCTGTCATTATCATTTTGATTGCGTGCCCTAGGTCCTGGCAGTCCCCCTCATTCTGACTGCTTCTGTCTGCCCCCTGCAGGACGATGCCCGGCGGGTGAGCTGGAGACCTCCGACTTAGTGACCGTGGTGTTGGGCCAGGATGCAAAATTGCCCTGCTTCTACCGAGGGGATCCGGATGAGCAGGTGGGGCAAGTGGCATGGGCTCGGGTGGACCCAAACGAAGGCACCCGGGAGCTGGCCTTACTGCACTCCAAATACGGGCTTCATGTGAGCCCCGCCTATGAGGACCGCGTGGAGCAACCACCGCCCCCACGAGACCCTCTGGACGGCTCTGTGCTCCTGCGCAACGCTGTGCAAGCAGATGAGGGCGAGTACGAGTGCAGAGTCAGCACCTTCCCACCCCCTAGCTTCCAGGCACGGAT